GGGAGAAATTAGCGAGAAATTAGGGAACGCCTTCCTCCTCCCCTCCTCCTCTCCCTTCCCCCTCCCTTCCCTCTGCCCTCCCCTCCTCCCCTCCCCGCCCCTCCCCTCGCCTGCTCGCTAATTTCTGGCTGATTTCTCACTAATTTCTCGCTAAAAGTTCGCAAACTCAAAGCAGTCAATGCGACATGCTCGCAAAGTAATCGCAAAATAATCCCTGCGAAATCCCAGTTTGATCACTAATAAATCGCAAACGAAACAAGCTAAATCGCTAATCAGCTCGCTAAATAAACGCAAGGAAATCCCTAATTAATTGTTTGGAGGTGGTTTCAGTCTGTACGGTGTCTGAAGGTCACAAGTGTAGATTTGTCGGGCCATGTCCCACCAGTCTGGCTGAAGCCTTGAAGCCGAGGCCCAAGATGCCATCGAAGGGGGTGGAGGCAAAAGGGGCGGCCTCAGCTTTGATTTTGGACACTGCAGGGCCTATTGTCAACCTGCTAAGTCATGCGAAAACTACATGGGAAAGGTGCTTTGGGTGGGCAGACGCGTTGGAACATTCGCAACAATGAGCCAAACCTAAGACGCGGGCACTCTGCTCGACCGAGCCGATGAAGCGGACCTCTGTTGAGAACTCAGGATTCTCCTTGACATCACTGACTATACGCAATCCTGAACACAGGATCAACGAAGGGTTACAAAGCTGGGAGTCAGCGTACTCAGATTGGCTAGGCAAGCCAGGTAGTTCAAGCTGCAGGATTCCCTGAGCACACCCAGCCTGTGAGCACAAGGACTCTGCGATGCAGAAGCGATCCTCGTAAAAGTCACCTGCACCGGGTCGTGAGAAACAACTGGCGAGCAGAGCAGTCCAAGGGCAGCTTCTTGCAGAAGTTACATTCCTCTTGCACAAATGGGGGGGACCCAAAAAAAGAGGGGGATGGAAGGGAGAAGGCTTCACTGGCGCATTGTGCGACAGCCAACGCCACTGCTGTACCCATTTTGGAAAGCCTGTGATGGAGCCGGTGCCGAAGGTGATCTCTGTCGATCCCTCACCATTCTCGTTTGTCACCTGCAGGTTGCAGTCGGAAGTGAGAAGAACCCTTCCAGGCAGTGGCAGTTGAGGTTCAAATCTTCCAAGGCGAAGCCGGGGACGATGTCCGGTGCAGTGCCGGCCTCCTTGGAGGTCGAAGACTGCTCCGGGACGTACTTCTTGTGCCGCGCGCACCTGGCTTCCGGCAGTTGGCAGCGTTTTGGCTGTCGATAGTGATGGTCGTCAAATCGCTCTCCAGTGGACCATGGTGATGCAGGGTACATGATGAAAAGTCTCGACAGATTCGAACTCCGTCAAAGGCCTTTGAAGAAGCTCATAAAAATTATTCATAAGGAAGGCACCCGTCCGAAGTGCACTTCGCGGTGGGCAGGATCAGATTCCCGCTGCCGGTGTCGAAAATCACCTGTGAGGAGTCCACTGCGAAGCCGGTGGGTGCAGCTCCAGACTGTAGCACACCTTACGATATGCAAGATGTGACTAGATGTTGACTTGACTGGGAGATTGGCAGTTGCGAGAAGTACCGTGGCTGTTCACAGCTAGGTAATCCATCGAGGAAAAGCAGGTGCTGCAAAAACCCTTCTTGGCCTTGAACTCCTGCGCTGGTGTGCCAACTCGAATGGAGCCCCAGTAAGCCGTCTTGTGGACGATCTGCAAAAGGCCATGTGCTGCAGAAACAAGCTTGAGTGTCTTCTTCTCATCGCTTTGGAAAGCGCAAGCGCCTTGGCACAAGAGTCTTCCCCACACTCTACACGGGAAGGTGCTGGCAAGTTTCGTCACTGATAACTATGCCTGAATTGCAGTACCTGCCACTCTCGCAAAAGTCGCTGCTAAAATCCCTACGTCCCTACTCCCTCCAAAGCCTCGGTGGACATCTCGCCCATGTCTCTGTGTGCACGCTTGGACCTGGGACTCGGAATGACCCTCTGCGCATTTTCCTTTGAGCTGCTCGCGGCTGTTGCGCTGGCGTGGCGGCCCAAACGTCTAACCGTTGCGTACCACGAAACACGAATGCAGGGGAGCACCCACGGCCCAACTATACAATATTGTACGTATCGTTTTGATGGTGTACCTGCACCCCTGTCCGCTTGAGCTGCAGTCTAAAGCCGGAACACATGCGAAAAACACCTAGATCATTTAAGCTCGATTTTTGCCTGAGAACTTCGCCTTGATGATCGGAAACGACGGACACTTACACCCAGGTCTCTCTGTACACATACACAGACAGAGACAGAGAGAAACACAAAGGCAAGAAAAGCAAAGATCCGCACACGCTGCACGTGCAAGCACACGAAAGATGAAGATGCAGATGCACACGTTGGCTCGAGCTGTCCAAGGAAGCGGCTTGAGTGCATGCTTGTTGAAGAGCAGCGCCTGGATAGCACCGACAAGTGTCTGTAAATGCCGCAGAGTTTGCAGCTGCCAATCCTCATGGTGGTGTCCCACCCTGGCTGCCGATCTGCGCGCTTTGCTGCGCAATCTTCCTGCAATGAGCTCCATGAGTCGTGGGTAGCCCTGGATCGCCATTAGCAGCAGCAGCTACCCGATTAGCCAGTCCTTTCAGGAGAGCTCCCTCCGTCAAGGAGAGCAGTGCAACCTGCCGGGCTTTCCGGGTTTCAAGCCTGAGCCCCGACAACAGCGCAGCAAGGCCGGGCGCACCAGCAGAAGTCGCACGAGCCACATTGTGTCGGAGCCTGGTGCAAGTGGTTAGAATCGGTTAGATAATCCAGGCGCGACTCAACGAATCTGATCGTGCCTGCCAACACAGGCAGTAGAGGAGATGGCGAAGAGCAGGCCTGCACTGTCGGCTGTAAACGACAAGACGTCTAGACTTGACGCGGCCACATCTGCAGACGGAACATCGTACTATGGCGGTTCAGGACGATGGACGGTAATGCCTGGAACAGACCGGCAAAAAACAGGCGTGCCTCAAAAGCCTGTGGCAGCCACCTCCTCTGAAGGAGCCTACTGCCCCTCTCGAGCCATTGTTAGCCCCAGCAGAAATGTCGATGTCAGAAGACTCATGTCAAGGAGCACTTCGTGCAGCCGACAGGTTAATTAACCACTTGTGCAAACTCTCCGTGCCCACTGTCTTTCGATTGACACATTTTCCACCCTCACAATCAAACAACCACTAGGCTTCAAAAGACCTAGGGAGAAACGGTCTCCAAAGCATTCACTTGTATGGGATGCCAGGGTACCTGAAACAGATGCACGAGCAAATGCTATCATGTGCGAGGTCGGACAGTAAGGCAGCCGCTGCGCGTGGTACTTCACGAAATCGGAGCGATTGTTGAAGCAATAGTCCCAGTGAATGGCAGGAGGCCTGAGCCACATTGAGACGCACAACAGGCAGCAGCGCACATCCTTCGAACGCCTCTCACATCCGATGCCCATGCAAAGATCGGAACACGACGAGCTCCTGGCTCATAGATGCCCAGTGTCAAGACCTTCTTCCACTCGTCGCTCCACCAGCCTTCAAGGCCAAGCTCCACAGAAACAGAATGGCCATGTCGAGGGTTCTATGCCCAACTGAGCTGCAGGCCGAAGCTGTACCAAGCAGCAGTCGGGGCAGCCACCTCAGTGACAGCCCGTGTGCTGTGATGTGCTCGCACGAAGCCTGGAACTGCTGACGCTTTCCGACAGATTCTTGGCCTCAGACAAAGACGCCCCAAGGGGCCATGCGAGACCAGACCTGTCCAGGAACCCCGGCCCCGCACTTCTTGAGACCCGAAGTGGGCTGTGTCTGCCTGATACCAGCCATAGTTACTGCGCTGCGTCCATGCAGCGGTGGATGCCCAGAGCTTGTAGTACACCGCCTGCAGCTCAACATGGGAGCAAACGAACGGGCTCAGAGGGACCGAAATTGAAAGCCTTCGTCATCGTGTCGGTGCTCGCTTTTGGGCTTTGAGCCACTGGCTTTGGTTCGATAAACATCCTTCCATGCATGATCATGAATCGTGCGTACGCCACAAATATGACGGCCACGATCAATGTCTCAGCCACAGCCAACACCGCAGATGCTACTGTGTCACAGCGTGCTTTTTCTGCAAGTGCTCGGGAAGCCTGCGCTCTGCTTGTCTACGCACATTTTCACACTTGTCTCAGATCATGAAAGTCCGTTCCAGAACAGTACACTGGGATGCTTCGTCACCCTCACTTGTAGGGGATGCCCGGGTACCTGATTACTGCACTGACTGCCGGCGCATTCGGCACGCTCGCTGCAGTGAAGCTCCCTTCTTGCAACGGAACGAGTAGCATTACATATGAGGGCTTATGACTTATGACACTCACAATCATGCATTCTGAGGCTTCGGCTGCGCGTGGTACTTCACGAAATCGGAGCGATTGTTGAAGCAATAGTCCCAGTGAATGGCAGGAGGCCTGAGCCACATTGAGACGCACAACAGGCAGCAGCGCACATCCTTCGAACGCCTCTCACGTCCGATGCCCATGCACAGATCGGAACACGACGAGCTCCTGGC